TTGGGGGGGGGGGGTAAATGCTATCTTTTTCAGGTAAAGCTTTAGATTTTTGAGGCAAAGAGGCTGCATTGTTTAGTGTGAAAGTCAACATCTTCATTAAGGTATTCATTACAACTTTAATTGTTACAATGAAAACAAAAAGATAGTCTTTTTATAAGGCTCTTACGCAATGAAAACGAAAAATATAACTCTCGTCAAAACAAACACAACAGACGTTTATCACCCGTTGTTTGCGTGGGATCTTTGCATGTGCCAGGATTTATCCGTGGACCGCCTTGGATTAGATCAAAGTGTAGATTTTGTCAACTCACGAAGGAGTCAAGAAACCAAAGCAATTATCTTGTCAGCAATGAGATAACCACTCTTCTCGAGATCACAGAAACGGTGGGATTTCAAGGGAAGAACTGGACTGCAGATCTGTCGAACTCTCCTTCTTTATACCGAAGAATTCGTTGAGATCTTCTCCTCCTCTCTAAAATTCATGGCTCTTCAGTCTCCAATTCAGCAGGGCTTCACCAAGGCTCGAGAATTCTAGATATGTGTAAATGAAGGCCCTAGGGCTGTATTTATAGGCTTCAGGAGCCCAGTTTTTGGATAATAACAATCGATTCCTTTTTATCTTTAGTTATAACCACTTTATCACATTCTAGGATAACTTCAGATCAATTAGAGCAAAATCCAGACAGTTAACGGGCGAAACAGATTCGAAACGGTCTCAAAATAGCGTTTTTGGGTCGGGAGACAAGTCCGAGTGTCTCGGCCATGGAAAGAGACACTCGTGTGTCTCGGCTATGGGCGGGGGCCGAGACACTCATGGGTTTCCGGTTATGGCCGAGACACTCGTGGGTGTCTCAGATCTTGTCGGAACCTCATGTGTCCTCGGGCCTTGGTCGAGACACTTGAAGTGTCTCCGCTGAGGCCCGGGCACTGGTCAGTCACGCCGCGATCATTTTTGCTATCTTTTCGTCGTCCGAACTCGAAATTATGCAATTTAAAGTGTGTGGGAAAGGCGATAAAGAGATCTACAGGCTCCCGTAGTTGAATCACATTTGGGACGGTTGAGACGCGAGGGGCGTTTTATCTTTCGTGAACGAATCGTAACTTCCGACCGGCTCGTATCTTCATTATTCTGTTATTCTGTTACTTCATACGATTCGTCGACTCACTTAATGCACTTGTCGATATTAGATAATCCTCTTTGATTCAGATGATAATGTTCATCGTCTTCTCTCTGCTTCGAGCTGCGTGTAGGAACCCATAGGTAATTTTTGACGCCTACAGATACCCTCATTTAAAGTGTTTCAGTCTCGTTTTTTTATAGAAGCTAAAATACTTTGGATGTGATAGGCCCCACCTTCAGTTGCTATACAAGAACCTATAGTCGACTTTGGTTCTTAACTTCTTTAATTTTTAGTCTATTCAGTACTTTGTTGAATAGCTAAAATTTTCCCAACGCTGCGTTTATCGCCTAGCTATTGTTGAAGTCTCAAATCGAAA